CATTTTAAAAACACTGGTAAATATTTTGGCCACTTAAAAAATTCTGGTCAATATTCTGGCCATTAAAAAAATAGTGGCCATTACAATGGCCAGAAGTGACTTTTTAAAGGGGTCTGAGGGGTGTAAAAAACAGAGTTAACGTGAAATGAAAAATTATTATAACCTCCTCACTAACCTAAAAGCACAAATAAATATTCAAAAGTTTTGAAAATTAAAACTTTCCGAAATGCGACGGAATTTCCGAAAGTAATCCGGACGCTGTTAATAGTATATTTTATTTTGACACTGATAATATATTTTGCTACATTATCTGTGGTCAAAAGACATTAAATATAATAAAACACAAGTACACACACGAGACAAAAGCAAATACATAAATAACTAAAGTCTAAGTAAGATTACTTATAGTAAAATAATATGCTGTCAATAAATTTGCTAGCACTATTGGCAATGAACCAATCTCTCGAACTTAAAATTTCTGTAAACATTTGTTGTTTTGATAGTTTAAGGATACTTTTATTATACGTATAATATAATTACCCTTTGAGTGCCAATATATAAATGACACATGATCTTAAAGTTTGCGGCAAGAACTGGACATGAATTCACCCTAGACTACCAGTAATTAGTAATTTTAGGACAAGTTTAACTTGTATACTCAAAACATAATGCTCAGATGACATGAAATGTACAAACATGTATAAATAAATACAATTCAAGCAAATTAGTAATCAAAATATGAACAGCAAAATATACATTAACTCTTTGAGCGCCAAAGTTAACTTGTCATGTAATTTTTTCATAATTTTTTTGAAATTTTGATCAAGACTTGTGAAAATTGTTTCCATCTGAACCAAATAAAATATTGGAAATACATAAAGACATTTATTTTATGTTACAAAAAAAAATAACTAAAAAATGTTATTGAGTCACGTACCATACTCAGGGTAAGATTTCTATACAAGATGGGGTGAAAATAGCATGTATTATATAATATAAGGTTATTACGAAGATACCTCAAAGTATGCACAAAGACAGTACAGCGGCAGTATTGACCGATGAAAATACCCTGTAAAATACCACAAAATTACGGCACGCTGTAACTTATGGCGTTACGGTGACAGATGTATAATAATATATGATATAAAGGCATTTTCTGTGGCAAGGATATATTTTTGTGATTTTCAGTCTTAGCTTCTTAGGGGCAATAATTGCATCCAGTTATGTGTCAGTTAAAATGATTTGACAAACATTTTCATAAATACCATCTAAAACAAACATTTTAAATTTTAGTATTTTAATTTAATTATTATTCATGTTTCATAAATTAATGTTTACTATGTGAGAATCACATTATAGTTATTATGCATATCAATATTGCACATCACAACGTAATGCATGATGTAAAGTGAAATATAAGAAAACTAGAAACATTTAACCCTTTGAGTGTTAATCAAACATTTGTAGCAAATTATTTCAATTTGATCCATAATTATCAAAAAATTACATAAATACAGGCAAAATGCTGCACCAAAACAATTTTTAATATTTGAGTGTCATTTGATGTCAATAAATGTATAATCTTATCAGTATTATTTACTAATGGTTAGTGGTTATTTGCCATAACATACATATATTCTGGGCTTAATATAAAGAGATCTATTTCATTCTCAAATTATTATTTCAGAGTACACATATCTGGTATAGTATTGGTGTCTTGGGGTGTGTATCTGCCTCGTTCTATACGCAAATCATCGATGCTTGCTCTGAATTTTGCTGAGCACATTTTATGTTTAATATATTAACCTTATCATATTGGTATCATTATAAAACTTGACATATGTCCTCAGTTTCTATCTTTTGTAATTTGATCTCAGCTCTATTGACTTTTGGCCCAATTATCTCTGTAAAATTGATGGCAAAATGTTTTCTTTCAAGATATTATTAATCAAATATAATCCTTTGTGACTTAGTTTGTTCATAATAAGCTAATTTTGTAAGACATAAGTCTACTGGGAGATCTGTCAGATGTTTCTAGTATTTAAATACAAATTTGAATTTCAATCAACAAAGGAAATTGTCCTTTCTCACTTCTGCAGGCAAATGGCTGTGTATCTATTTAAACCAAATATACATTTTCTCATCTCCATGGAAACCAATCTTTATACATTCAATCGCTACCTAGTGTATATAGTGCATACTTGTAAATATTTTCAATAGCAAGACATCTTACACCAGAGTTACAGGACTATAATGTTACATGTACAAAACTGTTGTACTTTTAAACTTTACCTGTGTAGATAATAAATAATAATAAAAATATTTTGAGGTGGTTTTAAGGTTTTAATTTATCATAATTTGGAAAACATATAAAAGGATGTGTTGACTACTACTATCCACAGAAGTATTAAACATCCTTTAAAATGATAAAATGAGACAAGCAACTTTTAAAAACATATCTTAGAGATTCATAGAAGTTCCATGAATCTATATTGAAATGCCAGTTTATAAAAAAAAATGGGAAGATTTTTTTTGCTACAGTATTATAGGACACACAAAGTGTCATCACCATGTCAACAGAGGGCACTGTGCAATGTTGAAATATGTAGATAAAAAATTAGCCCAACTTATTTCTGTAGTGTGACCAGTTACACAATAATGTTTTTTTTTAGGCCTTAATGAATGATTCTTGCCAGAGGCTTTGGGTCAACAACCCCATATTTTGGTGTACCCAAGTAGAATTTGAACATGGAAACACTATGCTACCATTGACAAGTAACCAATATCATACCTTTATTTTTTTCTAAATGTTGTTTTATGAATTCACATTGCTCTATAGGATTTCGAAAACTACCACTGTGATCCAAAGCTTCCTCTGAAATGGTGTTTAGAATCTGCAATGGATGATCAAAGAAACTTTAGAAAATGCTAACGTGATGAAAATATATGTAAAAATATTACAAATTATGATGATGAAGCTACTAAATAAATTGAAACATAAATTTATAAAGTTTACATGACTGACGGATGACCGGACACACGGATGGCTGGACACACGGATGGCTGGACACACGGA